CCCTTCCCCCTCCCTCTCCTTCATTTTTAGATAGAGTCTCACTCTGTAGCCCTGGATAGAGTGCTATGGCACCATAGCTCACAGGAACCTCAAACTCTTGGGCTCAAATGATCCTCTTGCCTCAGCCTCCTGAGTAGCTGGGACTAGAGGCACCTGCCACAATGCCTGGCTAGAGAGACAGTCTCACTCTTGCTCAGACTGGTCTCAAACTCCTGAGCTCAGGTGATCCACCCACCTCAGCCTCCCAGAGGGCTAGGATTACAGGTGTGAGCCTGTGTGCCCAGTCGAGGATATTATTTCTTACCCAATGACTAATGTATCAAGAATATGAAATTCATAGATTATGCTTTTCCTCCAGGTGGAATTGTTAGAATATTTTTAAAGTTAAGAGTGTGGAACACAAAATATATACTTAACAAATGAATGAGTAAATCAATGTACACAAAAGGCTTTATCTTTTTCCCAAAATTTCTCACTTGGCTAATTTAGGGGAAATAAGATCTCATTTGAGAATTCTGAGTCTGACCTTTAGTCACATTAGACCTGGTAAAGCTGATTATCTTGGATCATTGCTGCTTTGACACTACCAAATCAACACTGGGACATTTGTCTTAGGTACCTGCCCTTCTGTTGGCCCAAGCCTGGCATTTGTACATATTTTATTCTTTCAGCTATCAATGGCTATGTGCCTGAGAGCATACCCACTCTCGGCTTCTGCTTTGATGACACTGTCCAGTGGCATTTCTGCAGTGTGGGGACCCAGGATGACTTTTTGACCATTCACTTCACGGGGCACTCATTCATCTATGGAAAGAGGCATGAAGACACCTTGACCCTCTTCCCCATGCGTGGAGAATCTGTGACTGTCACAATGGATAATGTTGGTGAGTGAGAATCTGGACACTTGGAGAGGAAACTGGCTTTGAATCTCTGGTCCATAAAGAAAGGTCTGCTACAGCTCCCCAGACGACCACCACTCCTGTGTCCATCTCCCTGACCCTGAGAGCATTCTTTTCGATGTTTTTCTGATTTCTAATTGGGAAATTAATGACTTAAATGGGTCCAATCCTTTAATGTAGGTTCCATTTCTCTTTCTCTAAGAAAAGTAGGAAGACATACTAACCACAGAAAGATAAGCAGTAACTCTGAGGAAGAAACATAAGTGTTTCAGCCACCAAAGAACGTTTCTTTTCTCAAAATGCCCTTTTCAGTCTTTTAAGAAAGCCACCCCACCCTAGAGGGTGCAATCACCAGCTGCAGCGCCTTAGAGACTACCCCAGGGACAGCTTTGGAGTTTCAGGCTTGAGTTCAAATCCTGCTCCACCACTCAATCACTCTGTGACCTTGCACAAGTCACCTGGCCTCATTGAGCCTCAAGTTATTTAGTATTTGAAATCTAAACAACAGTATGATAATACCTTACGGAGTTGCTCTGAGCATTAAAATTATAATATGTGCCAAGTACCTAGCACTCATTAGACACTTAACAAATGGTAACTATTAGAGACTTCCCAAAAATCCTGTGTATGCCAGCAACTCAGACCACTTCAAAGAGATTCAAAATTGCCCTGGGCCCAGCCAAATTCTTTATTTCTTAGAAATACCTAAATGTCTCTTACTGGTAATGGTGAACTTCATCATCCTCCCTCCCCCCAGCTCCAATCCTCAAACAAGACGCACCGTTTAACGGGATGTATATGATGTTCAAAGTCCATTTTATTCTTGTTTCACCGCTTTCTAAAATAGTGACTCTCAATACTATTGGTGCTGAAGGGCCTTTCTCCCCCTCCCTAATCTTCACTAATCAATTCTTTTGGTATATATCCTGTTAAACCAGGTAAGTACATTTATCATGTGTTTAGGTATCACGGTGATGTCAAATTTCTTTTTTAAAAAAGTTTCAACACTTTATTCTTGGTTTCTCTCCTTATGTCATTATGGCCCAATAAATCAATAGTTCAGACTAGCCATGGTCCACATACCACATTGACTATCCTGAATTAAAGTCTACTATAAATTACTGCTGGCGTTTGAATGGCTGTTACTCTTTCACAGTTTATCCTTATGTTTTCATACTTCCCCCAGACTTTCAGCTTGCTTTCTGTCTCTCTTCTCTAGGAACATGGATGTTAACTACCATGAATGCCGATCCAAGAAGCAAGAACCTCAGGCTGAAATTCCGAGATGTTAAATGTATCCTAGATGATGGTGATAACTCATATGAGATTTATGAACCTCCGTCCTTTACACCCATGGAGACACGGAAAATGCATGATTTTCCAGATTATGAAGATGAAGAGACTAAGATCGAGGATTATTACCAGTACATGTTGGCTTCAGAATTCGGAATTAGGTCATTCAGAAACTCATCATTGAGTCAAGAGGAAGACCAGTTCAATCTTACTGCCCTAGCTCTGGAGAGCAGCTCTGAATCCATTTCCCCAAGCACAGATACAGTTATTGGTTCAAATTCTTCTTCCTCAAGTAATACTAGTAGTTTCACTGACAATAACCTCCCAGAACCTCAGAAAACTCTACCTTACCCAAAAGTCACCACAACTGGGTCCCCAGAGGGACATGTTTTTGGCTTAGATCATTCCACAGCAGAACATTCCAGGCCTTATTTTGAAGACCCTAGTGAAGATCCTCTAAAATCTTCTGATGTCACAGGAGTAAGACTACTTCCACACGGGACAAGAGGATTCAGACATCAAGAACATGCTAAACAGAAGGGACACAAAGCAGAAAGGGAGCGAGCAGCAAGGCAGAAGTTCTCTTGGATGAAATTATCAGCACATAAAACTGGGAGGCATGTCAGCCACAACAGTGATTCTCCTCCCCCCAGGAAGGGGCCCTGGAAGGACCTGCCTAGTGACCTGTTACTCTTAAAAGAAAATAACCCATCGAAGATTTTGAATGGAAAATGGCATTTGGTTTCTGAGAAAGGTAGCTATGATATAATCCAAGATACCGATGAAGACATGGGTGTAAATAAGCCGCCAACCGGCACCCAGAATGCCTCCAGTTCTTGGGTTTCAGAAAGCACCCCCCTTATAAACAAACCTGGAAATCAGAGTGGCCACCCACAGTTCTTTAGAGTCAGACATAAATATCTACATGTAAGACAAGATAGAGGAAATAGTGGAATAAAGAAAAGTTCATTTTTGATTAGGACTCGAAAAAAGAAAAAGGAAGAGAA